GAGAATGCCGTGGGAGACAGTGTCAAAATGACTGGAGCATGCGTCCATGTTCATAGATATGTCTCTCAAGACAGTAAATACTGTGCTGGAGTCCCTGTTGCTGTATCAGAAGTAGCCTATCTCAATGGTGCAAAGCGCTAGACCTGTACAAACTGATCCTGGTGGTTCAGGAAATGAAATATGAGGAGAAAACTTAAATCCCAATTAATTTTTTTTCAGGTTTTGATACTTTAAACTTAGATTGCATTCTGAATAGACTCTCAACTGCTTAGTCACAGTCTTTTTTTATTTCCTCTTTTCTTTCTTTGTTCTGCCCATAGCAGAAAAAAGTGTTCCTACATGTCACCATACTTCTTAAATGTACTTTCACTTGGTAGCTCTGGATTTGAAATTTTTCTGCCTCAGCTGTCGGTATGAGAACTTTGTCTTAGCTCTGCTCTTGCACTGGACCTCTACTTACTCAGTATTCCCTTTGGGAACTCACATCTTACCTACTAGTGATTGAATTCAGATCTCCTTCCTGATACTAAAGTTCTAAGGAATGGGAGTCAGACATTTTGGGGATTTAAAAACCTAAATGGTATCAGATACTGATTTTATACAGCAAGTTGTTGCATTTGTGCAGCCTCAGGTTTAGCTGCTCTCTGTATGATTCAGACTGATCCTTTTTCCTCCAGGATTGGAAACAAGGAGAATTCAAATGGTTTCCTCAGCTGTGATAGGTTTACAGAAAGGGATTTTATTTAGTTCCCTAAACACGGGCCTGCTTTTGGATCACAAAACAGAGGGGATTCAGGCTGATTTTTCCTACTGAATAGTAACAAGGCAAGTTCCAGGAGGACCCAGTGTTGCCACAACTGATCTGGCAATCGATTTGTTTGATCCTAAGAGCAGCATGTCTTTCATGGATTTCAGTCTCCAGAGCCTTGCTTATCCCTGCTGTAACTACGGGCTTCGTAGAAGTTACATTGGGAGGGACTGATCAGGTATCATACTTTTTATTTTGGTTTTAGTAAGTGTCTACTAAACTGTTTCTTTCTTCCAGTCTCACTGCCAAGAAAGAGAGCGTTCGTTGTGGTGTCCTGCATTTGCCGTTCCTCTGTTTTTGCCTGATTGTGATCAGAAGGAAAATATGGCACTAGACAACAATACTGTTGGTACTTACAGGCAACCAGCAGCTTACAGGGTCCAAAGAGAAATGCAGACTGAGGAGCACTTCCAGGCATACTTTGAAAGAAAACTGTCCTCCACCTTGGGTGGAGCACTACGAATCTCTCGAGAGAACAGACGGCTACAGTGCAGGTGAGTTCTATGCCAGGAATTTATCAGGTATAAAGAAACTAAGCAGACTCTTCAAGCCCAAGTGTAAAAAAGGTGCTAACTTTCTCACAGCTGGTAATTAAAATGCTGAACGCACTGATTGATTAATCGAAGCAGAACACCCAGTTACAGCAACTCGCACCTGAAGCGTGCAAGATCAGCTTAGTGCTGCGCTACCAAAGTTGCTATCTGCAATCTGCAAAAGTGTCTGCTCACTTCAGGACTATGATAGTGTGAGGGATAAATGCACTGTAAAGAGAAACTGCCAATAATTGTAGTTCCCTCCAGTGCTTCCCTCAGCCCAGCTGTCAGACACAAGCTTTCATTTGCTTTTTTCTGATTTGTGCCTTTTGATACTTTTATTTCTTAAATTTCAAGAGCCTTTTTCTGTTCCCTCTTAGCTGGGGACATGGGAAGTTGCATAATGGTATGACTGAGATTGACTGAACTGCTTTGGCATTATTTTGGAGCTATGTTCCTGTGTTCTTTGAGGAGAATGGGTGAGGCTAGGGTACTGATAAAGCATTAATGCTTCCACAGCCTTGTCTTCCCATCTGCCAAAATTCTCTTTTGGGCATTATTCTGGGAGTAGAAGCATCTCTTCTGCCAGAGGAGCCCTGCAGGCTCACCAGAAGGCAGTCTTTGTTGGCAGCATAGGAGAATTCCTGATGTTCTTCCAGCAAGGCAAATATAATAAAAAATAGGAAGCCCGTTCATCAGCTTCCCTTTTAGTTTTGTTTGACTATGAATGCTCTCAGTTTTCTTTCTGAATCTCTTTTTGGATGCGGAATGGACTGTCAATCGTTATGGCTGTGTCTACTCTACAAAGTCCTCCTAAGAAAGTAAATACAAAATCTCTGATTCATCATTTATCTGGGCTTTGTTTCAGCATGTATACTGAACGTATACTGAAACTTAAACTGTTCGAGACAATGGCAGGACTTGAGACTCAAGTCTAGCTATGGGTGAGGTTCCACAAGGTGTGGTGAGCTAATCTAACAGCTTGCTGCTGCCAGAAGGGACAGGACCACACAGGGAAAGGAAAGTAGGAGAGCCAGACCTCTCTCTTTCTGTGTAACTAGCTCTTACATGAGCTCAGCTATGTGTGGGACTGCAGCCTAAAACTATGGGTCATGTCTAACTTACACTGCTGTAAAGTAATTTCCTGGTGATAAGTGAAGGCAAATGGAGCCGTAGTTTGAGTTGCTATTGTGTTTTCTAGCTTTCCTTCACCACAAAGACTTGTCATCAAGATTAATTTCTGTAATAGTGAGATCCTTTAGATTGTGCAATAGCCTTCTGTTCCAGCGCTGTCTTTTTGTATATTTAAAAAAAAAAAAAGTGTAAAAAGGAGATTGTATGAAGTTCTGGAGTCAGAGAAACAAAATTACTTGATGGAAAGGGTTGAATTGTGTATAATTATGACATGTGATCTAGACTTAACTGTCTGTCCACCCAGAAACACCTGGTGCAATAAAATATGTCTTGCCCAGAGATCAAAGGGAGAATTTTGCCCTAGTCATAGCTAATATTATTGGAAACTTTATCATTACACTTGATGCTTAATAAGAAAATCTCTTTATTCCTCCCCCAACTCATTGTTTAAGAATTGTGTCTGCCTTGCTTCCTCATACTCTTTTCCCTGTTTCTTTTCCACTTCCCTATCTCATGTTTTTTCACTGTTCTCCATTTTGTATCCATTTGTCAGCCCAGCATGTAGTCCCCTTGGACAATAAAATGATGGAAAGGGACTCAACTCTATAATGTTAACTGGGGTCACTCCCGACAGCCACTGTTCAAGGCTGCCAGAAGCCTTGGGCAGATACTGCATCACTTATATTTTGTTTGTAAGTAGAAAATCACCAATATTGCCAGGGAATTAAAAAGGGGAAGAAGGAGCACAGGACTGGAGGGTTAATCGGAGTTTACCTACTGGAAATTCTGATTCAAAAACATATACACAAAATAAATCATGTAGGTCAAGTCCGACTTGCATTCCCTTATTAAATAATGTAATACAGGAAACATTTGACTGTTTGTTGGGAGGTGGGATAGGCTTGCCTATTTTCCCTCCCCAGATGTAGTGTTTGTATGTTTTTCTTCTAGATCAGAATAGGAGGAATCAAAATACCATCTCCTATTTTTCTGCGGTGTTAATGAGGTCAAGTAATTGATGCATTCAGCGCTCTGGGCTCCGGCACTGACAGGATATCATGTGAATGGCACACAGAGCATTTGCGATTCATCTGAATGGAATGCAAAGGCATGAGGGTGCCTATGTAGGATTCATGTTATGTGCCAGCTGGATCTGCGGAAGGCTAACGCCTGTGTGGGTTCACAGTATATGGTGCCTGCAGAGAGCTAACCACAGCAGTGTGACTTCTGTGCCTGCAGAGCATGAGGCCATGCAAAAGCACTGCAGAGATGGAGATTGTAAAAGGCATTGCATATAGCTTAGCTTATCTGATTCGTTTCAGCTTCTCCTGGGAAAGGTTCAGAAAGATCACACTCAAGGTCTTCCCTGTCCTGAACTGGCTGTTTTCATATCGGTTCAGAGAATGGATCTTGAGGGATCTACATGCAGGCCTAAGTGTTGGGATGTTTCAGATTCCTCAAGGTACGCAGAGAGAAAAAAACACTCTAGCTTCCTTTTGTATATCATGTTTTTCGTAATCTGTCTCCTGTGTGTGTTTCTGTTCTTTCTAATGTCATCAGGTTATGTGGGAACTTTAACCTTAGAAGTTCCTTAAATCATTAACCTATTTATTTGCAAATTTGCAGGAGAACTTCTCTTCTATAATCAGATGTTACATGGTGTAATTTCAAGGACAGTACACTACTTTTTTCATAAAGTTTCTCTCAAACTAGCTCAAAATATAGACTAATAGCAGCATTTTCCTATATTGCAAACAAAATAACATGGTCTTTAAAATCCACCTTGCAAAATCAGGTTTGTTAGATACCCACATGCATAGCCACCCCACTAGTAGGTGGCCTAAACGAAGCATTGTTCTGGTTCTTTGTCTAATTTCTAGTTAGCAAGGGCCGTGTTGTAAAACAACATTGACTTTTGTCACCAACTGGCCTGGCTTTATCAGGTCCTGAATTCCCTAAAAAACAGACTGTGGGAGTTGAATGGCCATCTTGCTCACTGATTTGGCATGTTTAGACCCAAACTGGAAAATAGCAGGTAGTATAAGCAAGACCAGCGCTCGTGCTACCTATGTGTGGTGATTCTGTGAATAAATATAATGGGATTTTCATAAGGGTTGGCAGGTTTTCATCAGCAAAATTTTACTTAACAATAGTAACCAAAGATAGCGAGCCTTCCCAATTTGCTTGACTTTAGAAACAGATTTTTGTTTTCTAGGACTTTTAGGAGTTTGGCTGACAAAGTCACCTCTGCCAAATAGCAATGGCTTCCTTTCTGCGTTCTGCTGCTCGATGACATATGTTATATTTGGGACTTCGCGTCATATCTCAATTGGTGAGGTTTATTTTGTACTGTGAAATGTTTCTACAGGACTTAGAGATTATGTTCAATGCTGCTTCAAAAAACTGGTGAGGTGTCTTAATCTATTTCATCTAATATGCAGATGTTATTTAGGTGAGAATCCAGACCCCCAGATTCTCAGTTCATTGTTGTTCCACTTCTGCAGCTGATCTGTGGTGAGAATTTCACCAAGTCAGTCAAATTTCAGCTGTGAGGTTCTTTGTACCCCCGCGGACGTGAGCTATCACAGACACCAGTGCAAAGGAGACGTCTGGAGTGTCATGGAAGCGTCTCCTATGTAAAGGAAAGGACCAGCGCAAGCTGCTTCACATTTACCCCCAGGATGTTACTGTGAATTATGATTTGGCTCCTGGTCTCCTCCATGGTCTTCTACATGCAGTTTCTTGCCATGACTGAACTGTTGATGGGTTTACATTCTTAATTTGTTCAGAAGCTAGATTATTAAAATGCTGTTTACATGTGAGAAGGCCCTTCACATTATCATAATGAGTGGGTATGTGGAGCTCTGGCCTCTTAGGTAAATTGGCAGTTCTTTCTCTGACTGACTATGTTTTTCAGCCTTTCTGGCAGCTCATTGTAATGCACCCATTTTTTGTGCTTTACATTAAAATCGTTTTGTTGTATTTCTCACTAACTGAAGACTTCACTCTGAAATTTCAGATTCCTACCATTTTATGACAGGCCTTTGGAAACTTTAGGTACTTACTCAGAAACAGTAAAAATTGATTATATATGTGGATTATATACGTGAATGAAAATAGACTGTCTCATGCTGTACAGACTGATGGTGGAGGGAAGAGATGGATGTGTGGTTTTAAGATAAGTCTTTGTTGCAACATCTCATGCAGTTCCATTTTATGTTCTCTGTTCTGTTGGTTCCAGGCTCATTCAGCATCCTAAATGTGGTGGTGACAAACATTCTGAAGACTCTTAATTTCAGCCAAACATTGTCCTCTAATAGTTCACTGGACAACTTCTCAGACCCTATATTTATGAAGGATTGCATGGAGGCCTTGACACTTACTGCATCAATAACATTTTTGACTGGCATCATTCAGGTAGAAGATGAATCTATTTTATATCCTTAATGATATATCTTTATGTGCATTCTTTGTACAAACGTAAGATTGGTACTGCTTGCATATTCTTACCACAAATACTAAGCTTAGCACATTTGAATATGTATGTTGTGCAAAGTGGGACATGAAGGTCTGTCTTTTCCTCTCATGCTGTTTGAAAAAGTTATGATAGGTGAAGATTCATGTGTCCATGATTAATATGTGTGAAGTAAATTATTATCTTTTATGTTGACCAGTTCTGCAATATGTTGACCCCTAGGTAGTCCTGCATAACTGCACACACTTCATGTAAAGTGCTCCTATTTTGCTTTGGCAGTGTCTTACTTAATTGTGCATAATGAAAATAGCGTGTTCAAATAACTATCCATCATGTGTGGCAGTGAAGAGTCATGCTCTTCAAATATGAAAACAAGAAGGGCGGGTTTAGACATTGATAATTATATCACATCTCACTTCTCGTTTGTTCCATACAGTTGCTGCTAGGCTGCTTTTGCCTGGGGTTCGTAACAACATACGTGCCAAGGACACTCATTGATGCTTACCTCACTGCAGCAGCACTGCATGTCATTGTATCACAGTTTACCTGTATTTTTGACATCATGCTTGGCTTCTATAAGGGCCCCCTGGACATTTTCTATGTGAGTAAATTCATTATTAGCTGAAGAAATGCATGCTTCTTGGAGGGGAAAGAAAAGAACAGCCTCAGAAATTGAAGGCAATTTTAATCTACGTCAGTTGCTAAGGGATATTTGTGCAAGCCTCAGCTGTGGTTTACTTTGCCTTCCTGTTGTCTTGAACAGCGTATGGAGCTTATTGTGTGACATGCAAGAGGAAAAGTCTGTGTGCGTATACATATTACTTATGTAGCTCTATAATATATTTTCAGCATGTCTATAATTGTAGTAGAGCAAAGGTTAGAGAAAAAGGTATTTTTTTTCTCAATAGGTCATCATGAGCAAGCTATTGGGCACACAGTATCTTTATCATATCTGACAAAGAAGCAGCAGACTCTAAGCTAAAGACAAGCTAAAGCTAATTCATCCTAATTTACTTTAATAATGTCAGTCAGACAACTTGAGAGAAAGATAATGTACAAGAGAGAAGAATGACAGTACTAGATATGAGCTATTTGTGGTAGTGTTTTCTCTGCAGATACCAATAGACGAGAGAGATTTTTTTAAATACTGTTTTGCTCTTAGCAGTTCTCTTCTTCTAACTGAAAATACCACTGAGGCAGAGAAGATGAGTTGAAGTGTCAGGGCAACCGATGTCAATCTCCTGGAATATAAAAATAGTTGTAGTATCTGCCTCTAATCCTCTCTATGATGATTCTTTTTCAGAATCTATTTCATTTCTTCCTGGCTCTCCCAAAGGCTAATGCCACCAGCATATTGTTATTTTTGCTTAGCGTGGCCGCACTACAACTTAGTAAATCTATCATGATAACTTATAAACATAGTCCTGTTGCATTTCCTATGGAACTTCTCTTGGTAAGTGATCTTCAAAATGCCATTGTGATAATTGAACTAACAGAGAGTATAATATACTTTATTTCAAAAAACATTTCACATATTACATCGAGATGCTGTTACATTTACACACTGAATCTGTGCTTAAATCCTTTAAATACTGCTACAAGATTAACTGTCTTTAGATGGATTGTGTACAGTTTCAGGAGCAAATGCTATATAATCTCTAGTATTGCTTCTTGTTTTCTTTCCCAGATTATCACAGTCACCATTATTTCTAATCGCATTCATCTTCACGCTGAATCTAGTAGTGCTGTGGTCAGTATGATTCCTCAGAGGTTAGTTATCTGTGCTGTTTATGAGGTTGTACTTTTGAGATATGAAAGAGATGTTTCAGCCTGTTCCTGAAATCTGACATGGGCTGACTTTTACTGGGAAGTACAGCTAGAGGAATAACTCTTCAAGAATTTTAATTGCATCATCATTTCCGAGCATATGCAGAATTCAAACTACAGTTTTCTTTATTAGATTCAGGTTTTATTAGCACAAAGAGGAAGGAACTTGCAATTTTTGTGCAGTGGAAGTCTTACAGATTGAGAGCATCTCCTGTGGGGTGCTGGATGCCTCTGATGATGATCCGGGGTTTGGAGTTACTGTGGACAGAGCTCAGAACAGGTCTAAACTTACCTCTTCTCTGATCCTGTAGGTTTCTGCCTCCTACACCGCCAGATTTATCAAACCTGAGCAAGATCATACTGCATGCCTTCTCCCTTGCTATTGTAAGCTATTTCCTTCTTGTTTTTGTTGGGGGAAGGTACGCTTCACTTCACCACTACAATATTGCCAGCAATCAGGTGAGAACAAAACTATACATACTTCCTAGGCCAAGAAGCAAGGCTGAACTCGACTTGCAAAGCCACTAACTACCTGACAGTGGTAGAAATGCAAGGACAGAGTGAATATGCCACATGATGGTTCTGTAGCAACTTTTTACCCTTCCCTATGGAAAGTGGCTGTTACAAGCCCATAATGTGAAGGCCAAAACATGGCCTGCTTTGACCAAGAGGGCTTTGTATATTCCCAGTGATTGGGATGAACCTCACACGCACACAGTGCTGCAACTGATCCCTGAGGACCGTTGCTGTCGTGAATCCATGAGACTATAAAAGCATAATAGATTGATAGCTGAAATTGTAAATGCCAGAGCAGCTGTAGTTCTTCTCTATATGTGACTACTATCCCAGTGTATGGATTCTTTGCCTAGAGTGATAGCTCTGAGAGGCTTTTAAGCTAAAACTGTGTTAGTTTCCAGTGTGCTAGAGTTAGTAAGCATTAGGTGTTTTGCACTACTCCATGTTTAGCTTGTTGTGATGGCTTTGGATCTTTACTACAATGGAACTAAGCCAATAAGGAAGGTGACTTCTCAAAGCCTCTGGGGATAAATATAAAGGGAATGGCTTTTCCATTCAGCTTTTGTCCAGGTGTACTATGCTGCGTACTGAGATTTGCCACATGTTAGCTTCAAAGTCAGTGCTTCATAGCTTTGGGGTTCTAAGTGGATTTCTTTGAAAGAAGGAGCTGAATTTTTGGGTCCCTGAGATCCTCAGCTGTGAAAACTGTATGCCTTTGAAGAGAGCTCATTTAACCATGGGAGACCTTGCTTTCCAGAAGGTTTTCTGAGCTTAGCAACCCACATGAGCAACCAGCAAGTGTGGGCAAAAGGAAAGAACTTCCTGATAAGCTACTTCTATGAAGGTAAGTCATTTGGGGTTTTCTCTGTTTCCTTCTGTTTCTGTTTTACAGGAGCTAATAGCTGTGGGGCTATGCAATATTTGCAGCTCATTTTTCAAAAGCTTTGTTGTGAGCTGTGCTATTTCTGGAACTGTCATTCAAGAGAAGACAGGTGGAGAAACACAGGTGAGCTGGCCTGGATTTGTTAAGCTTCCAAACTCTCATCTAAAATCACCGTATACTGAGTATAGGCTGGCATTTAATCTAAACAATTTGTGAGATATAAAGTTACATACCCATGCAACATGAATTCAGATACCCTCTCTGTGTATGTTATATTATGTGCTATACTTATATGATATTTACAGCACATGATGAGCCATGAAGGAAGCCAAGATCCTGTGGGGAGAATAGGATATACCCAAAAAGCCAAATGGAAAATTGTTCACGCACCCTTAATTCTGCCACTTCTTCCTAACTTTTGAGTACTTGACTTTGTGATTTTTTTTTTTTTTAGGGAGAAAAGAGGGTGTAATATGTAATAATAATATGTAATAATGTTTTTATTATGCCTCTTAACTGAATGTCTGTATGCGCTTCATTGCATCATAGAAATAATTTTGTTTAATAAAGAGTTTATTCCAAAGTCTGACTTGCAAGAGAAGTATCTTATTACTCAGGTGGAATTATCAAACCAAAATCCTGCATTGTTCTGTTGTGCCTAAGAATAGTCCATTTAGGAAAAACTTATTTATAAAATATCTACAGAAAACTCTTGCAGCTTGAGTATTCTAGAATTTGTACCATGCATTGCAGCATACCTGTGGCCTTTGTTAATTGTCCCCTGGTTATTTTTCCCAGTTGGTGGTGTTACGTGGGCCATACCTACTTGTTCAGAGAGGACAAGTAAGGAAATGGTTCTGTCAGGCCTCTCTAATAAAGTATTTCTGTTCAGTTAGCAGCAGCGATTGGAGCATCTGTGATGCTGGTGATTGCACAAAACCTAGGACACTTTTTCCAGGTGATACCTAACGTAAGTGAACCTGAAATAGTTATGACAGCAGTCTACTTACTTTCTAAGGATAAAATGAAGATTTTCTAAGCATAATACGAAGATTTTTCTGGGACAGTTAGGGATTATGTCATGCTCTAGAGTTAATTGTTTTCAGAGATGGACCAAACCAAAATAATGACTTTAAATTCCTAAATTTCAGCAGGCTGACGCATTCGGTAATAAATACTGCATCTCTCTCCCATCTCTCACTGATCAGTTCAAGCTAAAATTCCTTCGCGAATACTGGACTGAAATTTCACTGCCAGCCTCTATAATTTAAACATTGTATTTCACTTTTGGTCTCACATCTTCCAAGCTTTTGCACACCTGTATAACAAATTCATGAGTTCCTCTCTTGCATCGGTATAAGTAGTTCCAAGATGGGTGCTTCAAAATCTTTAGTGTAAAGAGGTAAACAAATCTTTGAAATGGAAATTTGGGTTTAGTGTCTCTGATTCTAGCTTGATCTTGAGGTTTTTTTTAAAACCATATGGACTCTAAACTGCCTTCTGTGGATTTTGCATTGCCAGTGTGCCTATAAACATTCTATTATTGTAGATTATTCAGAGTACTCAGTTTTCCACTTTTCCCTTAAATTTTTATCTAGACTTTCTTTTTTTCTGTAAGTTTTCTTAGGAAACCACTGACAGAGCATTACTTCCTGATTTTTTTCCTGGCCTCTTTGTAAGATGGGAGAATTAATCCCTTTCCCAAAACTAGCTGACAAAACAGAATTTAACCATCTACTTCCCTTCAGTCTCCTTTTCTTTGCTAAGAAAGGCTGTTTCAACAAATGGTGTCAAGCAACTTCCTAAATCTGGCAATGAACTACCCATGCTAATTGAAACCATTCTTTGAAACAGCAACTCTTAATTCTGTAGGCAGTGTTGGCCTTTCTCCTAGTGCTGCAGGAGGCGTAGGGATTCACTGAAGAACACTGTAATGGAAACTACACATAGCATTTCAAGAGGAAGTCCAGTTGTATTGGCAGAAGTGATTGTGAAATCCAACAAGAAGTTATATGCTAGTTTCACGTTGGTTTGCAGATCAGAGGAGAATTGTTATACGTATCTACAAAAATTACGGAAATAAAGCTATTACAAGATTTTCATTTCAAGCAGTTTGTCTGTCACGGATATCTGTTCCTTAGCATGTTTGTGACTGCAGACAAAAAATAACAAAATAATAGATGCTATTTTTCTGATTTGCACAGGGTATACTGGCTGCTATTGTGGTATTTAACATGCTCCCTTTTCTTGAAAAATTTCTGGACGTCCCCATCCTGTGGAGACGGGATAAGTATCATTTCGTAAGTGACAAAAAAAGCCACCTAGGATTTGGAATGTGTCTTAAAGGGAGAAATGGATGTTTTGGGAGGCAAAGCAGTGGCCATTCCCTTAGAAAAGGCATCCTTTGAAATATCCACTGAAAGAAGTGTATTGAAATCTCTTCAAATCAATTTGCAATTAGTTCTATACAGGGGAAACTGGTTATTATTGTTGCTTCCCAGATCCCCTAAGAAGGAAATTGTCTAGCTGCCAGCTGGGGCCACATTCTCATGTCAACTCTTGTGCAGGATTTCTCATAAAGAGAAAGACCCCTAATATGATGTGGTTTTTGCTGATAATTGAAGCCCTGTTAAAAAGTCTGGAGATTTGTGATCCTTATTTGCGACTACTTCCAGGACTGGGTTGGTCTAGATGTGCCAACAAAGCTTTTCACATATTGGCATTTCTAGCCTTTTTTTTTTGTCTGGAATTTGCAAATGCTGGGGCTGAGTTGGAGGTCATTTTACATCTTTTTACTGCTCATGTTCTCTCTGTCTCTTGTTCAAAGGTTATTTGGCTTGTAACTTTTGCTGCAGTGCTTTGTCTTGGTCTTGATGTCGGTTTAGTGATCGCCATGGGATCTGCATTCTTCATAATCACCATTAGGTCACACAGGTACTTGTAACTTTTAAAACAAAATAGTAGTTTTTCTTAGAGTTGATGTTTTAGAAATAGTTATACACGTGACCATGAAAAAACTGTTTCATGTTTGTAAACACTTCAGTCAGGTCGTTCTGGAGTCTCTCTAATGCTATCCCAAACCAGTAACCTCTTCAAGTTTATGGGCTCTGGATTGGTCCCTTCTTCAGGTGTACCATGCTACTGAAGACTGCTTGTTGTGGTGTAGGCATCAGCCAGGAGAGATGATCTGTATACACACTTCTCTAGGGATAAAATTAGATTATGTGCCTTTATTTCAAACACATTCCTCAGTCTTCACTGCCGTTTACCAAGTTGCTTTATCTTCTCTGTAAACTCAGTTCGTGATAGGGGAGGGAGGTTACATGAGGCACACATTACTCAGTTTATTAGCCGCTAATCCAAACAGGAAAATCATTCATAAACCCAAGCCACACCTCATGAGATTTACCATGATAGGAAGGCGCTTGTCTGAGTAGACTGAAGCCTCTAGAATAACATGGAAAGAGGTAGGAAATAAGTCAGTTGCTGCAAATCCCAAACTGCTTGTGATCTGGTCCAGAGTGGCTCTGAAAGAATACCTTCAAGAAGAATTTCAGTTGCTGTCTGAAACTCACTGTATTACCTCTGCTCAGGGTTATCCTCTTGCATTTGCCTTAGGATATAATGAGCATTGTGAAAGGGCATTTCTGCAGCCACTGTTCAATTAAGTATCCCTGTTGTCCATACTAACTTCAGGATATATAACCACTTACCAATTTCCTACCAGCGAGAGCATTATGCCGACAACACTCAAAAAAGCATGGGAAGTTCTCTGCAAACAGATTGCTTTGAATAGAGTGTCTTGACAAAAATTTTCCATACATCAGAGCCCACTGCCTTCCAGTTCTCCAGCAAACAGCCAGCCAGCTACATATTTATTCCACCCGTGCCCTGAACTGACGAGAACCTGCCCCAAAACCATGCAGCACCATTAGCAAAGCATGGTACCCAAACCAGGATATTCTCCTTCAAGGCAAAACCCTGCATTAATGCTGCTACACAACCTCTGGATCAGACCTAGCCTTGCTAAGTGCAAGTTATAGCTGCCTCCACCTGTCTGTGTAGATGTATCTTTGAGGAGGGCTGTGGCGAGACGGAGAGGGAACATGCTTCCTAGCGTAATAACAATAATCCAAGTGTTCCAGAGCTAGAAATGGGACGTTATACATTCTTGAGGACACCAGTGTAGCTGAAGGCTGTGTTTGTGTACTGCACCCCTACTCAAAGAACCCTAATTATGAGTGAATAACTTTTTGTACTCACACCTTCCAAGTTACAGTTGGTGTATCCAGTGAAGAGGAGAGAAATGGAGATCAAGCTTTTGGGAACAGATGGTTTTTCTCTGTTCTCTGTGAAAACCTAACAAACATCTTGTTTCAGAATGAAGATGGTGGTGCTGGGACAGATTCCAAACACGAATATTTATAGAAGTTTATCCATCTACAGAGCCGTAAGAGGAAACAAAAAACAAATGTTCTATCTCTCTCTGTAATCCAGCTTCTTCCCTTAAATGCCTGAGGAGTGACCATTCACACTCAGTTCATTTGATTTAAAACTTTGAAAACTGAAGAATGCTTAAGTATCTGTAGTGTGAAGTGATTCAGATACCTAGCTCAGCCTGTGGAGCTCCTTGTGTCCATCTGTGCTGTCTCCACAGTGCAAGCTACGCTGCTGTCACTTCGAGAGCTGTTTGGCATTTTTTGCTGACCTGCTTTTCTCAGTCAGGTTTTGTCCACTCTACATATGTTTTCACAATAATGACTGTGCATGTGCTAGTCTGACTCACAGGTTCTCCCAGAGATGGGATAATAGGTAGGGCACAGGCCTTTTTAACACGTTATTTTCAAGACCTGCACCATACAGAATTAGGCAACACAGTAGTAGAGAGCTTTGCCTTTGCTGCACGGGTACATTTCCAATGCTATGGTGATGGATTTGCAAAAAGATGGAATAATACAAGGACAAGATTAGTAAGACAAAGGTATAGTGTATGTTTTCTGTAATGAGCATTAAAAATAATTTGGCTTATTTTATGTTAAAGCCACCAACTGTCATCTGTGATAGATCTGCTGGAGGTATGTTTTTAATTGCAAGAGAAGCAGATTAGTTTATGGTAATTAGGTCCATGTTGGCAATGCCACTATCGGTATGCAGTGTAGTCAACAATGTGACCAGACAAACTCTATCCCTAGGGTAGGATCTTGCAGACTACAACACAGACAGGAGGGGGAAAATAGCTTCTGCTAGGTACAACCCTCACAGATACAACTTTTGTTTTACAGGCAAGGGAGATTGAAGGTATCAAAATCTTTCAGTGCTGTTCTTCCATCTCTTTCGCAAACATGTATTACTTCAAAACCTATTTGTTACACAAGGTAAATGCCACTTTTTCAGTCTGTGGAAGTTCCTAAGAGCCTGCATTAGGGAGATAAAAACTCTAATAAAACTGCCTTTCTTTTTCAGATGGACATGAAAGCCGTGCCTCTAGATGAAAGTGAAACGAGGGCTTTAATTTCACTTAGTCTGGCTGACACTGCAGTGGAAAGAAAAGATCTTAAATGCTCTTGTGTCTGTGATCCACCTCTACCACCACCTAGGGTCAGCTTTAAAAGTATATTTATCTAGTCTGTTTGTTTGAGGGGCCTGGTTTTACGTTACTGAGGACAATGTTCTTAACTTGCCAGTACTGAAAAGGCTGTAAGTGTTTATATAAAGCATATATATATTTGCTGTATGAAAATAAGCAAACATTACCGCTGTATTTCTTTACACATACTTTATGTGATAGAGCAGTAGTAGCTCAGCTTACTGGGTGAATTAACTAGCAGTTGGAGTATTCAACATATCCTCTCCTCGGCTGAAAGAATTAATTTTGTAGAGATTTTCTTCTTTTTTCCCTGTAGAAGTGAGAGAATTCCCTTGCTTATGAGGAACTTGTTCCACTGCCAATACTGCCAAGTGCAAATACAAAATACCTCAAAGGCAGCTATGATTATCATGATTAGAAGATTTCTCATCTTTCCTGTAATTGGCCATTGTGCACCTTCTAGAGTCACTCATATCCCTCTTTATCTGAATTTTCTGAATTGTCTTAGACAATGAAAGGAACTTCAAGGAATGGACTTTCTTCAGAAGATATTTTTCAAGCAGTTATATGTGATTTGTAGAAGCCATTGTATGAGAAATGGGTTGAAAGACAGTGGTTTGGAAAATATATGTGGCACCGAGATGCTTAAGAAGTGGAAGTGATAGATAATTTAACATCTTCTGAAGTACAAAAACGCAGAGAGTGATTTTTCCTTTCTTGCATTATAAAAATTAAAAAACACATTTGGAACTATTAAGAAAGAAAAATTGATTAAATCGGTCCATTCTGTGACCAGCTGCCATACAAGCACGTAGATGAATCAAAGGTCTGCAGAACTCAGCCACTAAGGGTCAGCTTACTGTTGCTCAGAAATAGCCGTAGGCAATCTTTTTTTTCTTCTTTTCTTTTCTGAAAGGTAGAAATAACAAGTCAGATTCCAGTATCACAGGCCATTTCAAGGTGTGGAAGAGTAAGGTACCACTGTACTATTTGGTGGCTGAAGGCCCTCTGCTAACCACATCTGAGGCTTGCTTAAGTCATCTGCTACTTTGCATACTCTTGTGGCTTTGTCTTATATTTAGTGTTATTTCAGATGTGTTTTTTACCACGAGGGAAGAAATATCATATGATTTACAGTGCTGTCTTACTTGCAGCAAAAATGTTTCCACCTCCTGGGCCCAATTCTTCCAACCACTGCTGTACTTTCCATTTTCCATCTTAGATACCATATACAGAGAAACTGGTGAAGCGACGTCACGCAGACAGCGGTTCCTTGTCATCTTCAGTTAATTTGGTACATTGGTCAAAGTATGGAGACAAACTCAGCTCTAGGACACTCTTGGTGGGAGTAGCCGATGCGCAGTGTGCATCCCCAGGCTTCAACACGGGACTTGCGACTGAAAAGAACGAGGATGAAGGGAGAAAAGCTTGCCTTTCACCAGGCTCTGCAATAGATAATTCCTCAGTACAGTTAGATCAGGAAGAACAATCAATGTATTCGCTATGTCCAGTTCACACCATTATTTTAGACTTCAGCATGGTGCAATTTGTGGATTTGATAGGTTCAGAGTTACTGCGACAGGTAAGCAACCTAACTGCACATAAATGTGAAGCCTGAAGTTTACCCAATGTCTTATGTTTTTTGTTAGTTTAAAACGCCCTGCTACATAACAATTCACACATCTTCCAGTTGACCTTTAAGGGTGCAAGATTTAGGTATTGAGTTTCAGAAATTAATAAATTCCCATAAAAACACTTTATTTTTAAAATAAAAGCCCCACTATCCATACAAAAGACATGCAAAAACCTGTCATCCATTCTCACCAGTTCTAGAATCATGTAAACTAAAAACACATTTATAAAAATGTCTAATTTGTTTTTTCCACTTCGGCTGTTTATTTTCTCTTCTAGCTGGATGCTTTAAAAAAACGCTCTTTATAAGTGTCAGATACAAAACTACCAGCTGTCTTCTCCTAGAGTGATTTTGTTGTTATTGCTGACTGCCTAATTAGCCTTTTCTTTGAAGTATGCCTTGAACTTTTAAGTCTTCAAGTGGGGATCCTAGCCAATAGAGATACATATTTAGCAAAAATAAATTTCTTGTAGCCAGGCTTCTCAGAAAGATACAGTTCCAGATGGATTCTTAGTCAGCTTCCTCAAACTCTGTAGCTCAACTTCAAAAGAATTTTCTTTAATAACAGGTTAGACTAACATCTATTAGGAATAATTGTGGACTGAGCTGATGTCCCTAAAATCCTTGAAGATTTATTTGCCACCCATTGAATGACCCTCCCATTGGGAAAGGGGGGTAAAGTCAAAGTCTTTCCAGATTCCTTCGAGCCCCATATTCTGAAATTCTGTGATTCTCTGAAATAATGAGTTTCATTGCCTTTAAAAAAAAAATTAACTGCTTTGAGATCTTTTAATTACAAAGGGTTGGGCATTGAGAAAATGATGAGAATCTATCCCTTCTGAAATCTGATTCCTTTAACACTAAATTGATATAACTAAAAATTTTGCACATGAAAATTGAGACAACTAGAATTACAGGTCATGCTTGAAAATACAGGTTCCTGTTCTCATTTACACGTGGGCATGGCATCTGCGTATGGAGAGATGTTTCAAGTTAGTCTGTTCCTGTGAGAACATTTTGTGTAAGTGAAGAAATAGCACTGTGTGCTGCGTAGTGAACTGTAGGAGGGCCAGCATGGGGTCTGGCTGTCACCTGCCCTGCGTCTGGAGTCAGCATTCATGAAGACCTCGGACAACTTGGCTGTTTAGTGCTGAAGTAAAAAACAGGATCTGAGATACCGGAAGAAGGGTCTTCTTCAGAGTTAAAACACTACAAGGGAGGTTTTATTTCCCTGTTTATGTTTTACCTTCTAGTGCACTTGTGTAATGCAGAATTGCTCTAATGCCTGTATGGAATTCTTTCCACAGATCATCCATATGTTTCACAATATTGGCATTACAGTCCTTATAGCTGCCTGTCACTGTGAGTATAGTATTTGTTTACTAATATTGACTTATCTCCAAGAATAAGTTTTAAACTTAAGTGAAATGTTTTAGCTGTACTGCTTCGTGTGTTTTTGCTGCTTTATTTACTTCCCCCATTTTTTATAGCCTCTGTGATAGCAGACTTTGAGAAGAATGATTTCTTTGACAGCTGTGTCACCAAAGAAAGGTTCTTTCTAATTCTTCATGATGCTGTGCTGGCTGCTTTGGACAAGCATCAAAAGCCAGATGAGCTAGAAACTACTGCGGAAGAGTCTGCTGAAGAACCACTAGCTGAACAGCAGCAGGTAGAATATTTAGCTTAACATTTACGCCTTCATGTTGTTAAATTATCCTGTCAGTAACTTAAACCTTATGCTGTGGCTGAGGAAATAGGGCAGAGCAGATGCTCTTTTGAATTGTCCAGTTTTTCACAGGTACTTGCTTTTTTGCAATGGATCAATAATCCAATTTGTTTCTTTGAGTCCTGTGTTCCTGTTTGGGGAAAGGCATCCAGCTGAGTTTTGGGGCAGGGAATGACTTTGTTGCATTTTAAATTGTTTCCATTTCTCTGACAGAGCAAGGACCCTGCTAAGGCAGAGCAAAAGCTCCAAGTTTTTTTACTTCCAGAGGCTACTGCACCAGCTCCCTTGGGGCTAATGGGGGAAGTGAAGGACAGTGCTAGCTTGATTTCCTGAAGAACTGGAGTTTATGCACATGCCCTTTCTGTCAGTACTCTGCAATAATTTTTAAGTTCACTGGCTGTCTCAGCCAAGTGTGAATAGGGCAGACGGTTGCAAGTTCTAGGAAAAGACCTTGTTCTGAGCAGAAGATTGCAGTAATTGCCCCACCTATTGGGAAAGAACCCAGCCTTGGCTAATCATCCTATGCATACCACCAGGCTGGGGTCCTATAGCTGAATGAGGCGAGAATGAAGGCAAAAACCTATCCGAATCTGCAGGAAAACAGGGTTCTTGAGTTCTGCTGCTCATGGAACAATTGGTTTAACTTTCTTATCTTGGCATTGTACAGAATAGTCTAATGCAAGGATATTGACCTTCCAGATTCTCTCTCCTATAGAAAAAGCTTCAAAGAATGAAGGTGACAGTATATATTCACCAATCTCCCTTTAATGGATGTTGGGGGGGAGGGTTGGGAGCAGCTACCAGGCAGGAGGTGACAGTGGTTCCCCAGGAGCCCGTTCTGAGATGAGGGTGGGCTGGGTGTGCAGATGGGACCCACGGCAGCTCGGTGATGTCAGCTTCGGCAGTCCCTGCTAGCTCATTTCCTCGGCAGCCGGGGATTTGGACTACCCTGTGCTCCCACGCCAGCATGGCCCTCTCGCTGCTCGCATGGTGTTGCCTTGGCATGGGAACCACACTTGACCGGCTCAACAGATTGGCCATCTTTGGCTTACAGTAATGTTTGTGCACATTTCAGGAAAGAAGTTTGCTCTCGAAGAAGAATAAAGGTGTTTTCTCTGCAAAGAACTCTGACAACAAACTTCTGCATGAAGAGCCAATATCAGATATCTCACACTCAGCCCAGAATAAAGCAGAGCCAAGGTCTCTCCGGCAGTATGATACTCCACCCCTTCAATCGGATTTCCAGGACCCAGGCTGGGGGAAGAGATGGAAGTATACCAGCAATCCCTGAATTACAAGTGTTGGGGAATTGGGATTTCAGTAGAGAGGAGAAAGGTACAGTTAAGCAACAGCCTTCGATCTTTTTATTTTTTCTGTTCCAGAGTTCTTAAAATAGACAGCCTCACTAATGCCTCGAGTAATGCTGTTGTTGTACACAAAAAGCAACATTTATGTTATTGCTTTCAAGCATTTTCAAATAGATATGCTACCTAGCCATGCCGAAAGCAGAGAAATTTCAATGTATAAGACAATTCCTAGTTTTGTAGCTAATTCTACCAAATTATTTGCACTTGTTTTCTGAAATTCTGTAGAAATTTAAATGTCCTAGCTTAGCACTTCTTATATATTAATGGCTTACTAGTAAGTGAAATTAATCTGCCATATTTCAACAGGTTACATGCAGGCAGTTTCATTATTTTCAGATGTATTTAGAATGATATGAAGCTTCAAAGAAAACATTTTATTATTACTCTTCAACACTTTGCTGAAGTTGTCATTGTCTGCACTAACATAACATGGTGTCCGTCCATTATTTCTGCCTCAGTCCCTTTCTAATCCACCAGAACTAAATCCCAGTAAAAAAATATAATATTTTTTTCATGTTTTTGTAGTCCTTTACTGAAATAGTGAAGAATGGAGGAATGTATTCACTTTGTTCTGAAGAGTCAGGAAAAATGTAGACTTAGATACAGTTAGCACTTGGGAAAAAAATCAACTTAGTTATATTTTCTGTAGATCAGCCATAGAGTTTGACGCAGTAATATCAGTACAGAAGTGTGACCTAGGATTCCACTGAAAGCAGAAACATTTAACTGTACCAGCAATACACATCACAAGGCTTCATGCCCTCATCTGGTGGATTATCCCATGGCACAAATTGCCTAGTGTGAAGAGCTGCAGGTGAAATTAATTTTAGATGAGTGGCCAGCACTGTGTATACACACCATTCAGGCCCTATTTTAGGGCAAACCTTGGATTTAAATGATGGATCCTTTGTGTACAGATCTTATGCTCGGGGCTAAATTTGTTAATATGTGAACAGCTCTAACTTTTGCTCCTGGGCATTGTGTGGTTTCTGGATGTGCAGCAACAGCAAGGCGGCTCCTCTGAATTCTGCTGCTCCTGGCTGCTAAATTTTAGCAATGATACAATGGCTAATAAGAATATTAATATTAAACTATCTGTAATGTATTCCCGTGAGTTCTTCTAATATTTTTTTCATTTTTTCATTTAAATTCTTATTGCTTCCAAGCAGTTTCTAGAGGGAAGCCACAGTATTGCATGTGTAAACTCCAATGGTAAAGGATTTTAGTGAACATTACTGTGTAGAGTTGCTTACTGTGGAGGAAACTGAGTCCTGGAACCCTCATACCTTTTGGATTGAAAGACAGGAAAAACTGAAAGCTCAAATGGTGTTGAGTAATTCTCAAACCACATATGCTTCCCTACATTGTTTTGGACAGTGGCTTCATGCCAAGCTCCTCTCAGCTCTGTTCAAAACAGAGTAATACAAAACCCATGAAAAGCATAGCCCTAATTTCCAGATTGTGTTGGCTCTCCTACGGCAGCCTTGATTTGAGATGAAATGGCATTCCTAGCTGTTGGCACCATCGAAAGTCTCCATTGCAAACTTAAGAGATTTTTTTTTTCTTTTTTTTTTGGCTTGTTCCGCAAAGTTCTGAATCTTTCCTTCCTACCCCCATGACTCTGCAGAGTTGAGCACCAGGGGACAACTCAGACGTCAGTATGTGAGCATTCAAATTATGGGTATTCACGTTGCAAAACAAATATCTTGCTGAGAGGAAGTCCAGACAATCCCGATCTTTTTCCCTTATAGCTGTGCGGTGCCATAACTCTGCTCCCGCATACGTACACAAGGCTTCTGTGTTTAGCCAAGCACAAATCCCTGGACACGGGCTGTGAAGTGACAAAGCACGTACTTTATGGCCAAGGACTCCACCTATACCTCTAAAAAGCCACAGAAGTCAGAGTTCAAAGGCCTGCCTGTAATCATGTGTTTGTAGGCAGCTTGACAGTCTCACCTGACCTAGTTGCAACAACTACAGTTGTTTTGTGCACACAGCAACTTTTTAATGTCCTTCCCAGCTAGTGTGTGATGCCATGATGTTTTCCTAGCAGGGCATGCTGCAGAAACCCTGGCAGCTCTCCCACTGCACTGAATTAGAGGATACAGATCCCCAAACATGCACATTATCATTGCAAATGGTGCAAGGTGTATGTAACCACCCCCAACCCTGTTGTCATTTTATTAACATATTACTCTGGTGCATAAATGGCTGCAGAAGACATAAAGCAGCTGAGGAACCTCGGGAGTCATGCAGAGCATAGCAGAAGCTGTTCTTGGAGCCATGCACTGCGGTGTCACACCGCGCAGGAAGCTATGAGGAAGGACCAGATAAACCAGTTACCTATGAGCATAGTTTGGGGGCATTTATTCTGCTTTAAAAATTAGTGCCAGGCTGGTTGTGGAAAGATGAGTGTATCTTGGCTTACGCCTGGCAGAGCAACCCTTTGAGGGTGCTACCCCAGACTGCGTTTTTCTATCCCAAATTAGAAGAGTCGCTGGAAGAAACTTGGCAGGAGTGAAGACGCTCAGTAATATCTCGCTTCTGTAGGAGACCTCTGCATGAGGCTCCTCGTTCAGACTGTGGTGGCAGCTACTGTTCGAGGGAATATGATACCCGTCTGCACGCTTGCTTTGCTGTGTGGCTTTCCAAATCCGGCCATGTGCCGTCCTTGATGCCCTCATGTGAAGAAACCCGGCCTAGGCCAGCAGAAGTATGAAACAGAGCAGTAGTCACGGCAGGTGTGAGCACACACCTTGCCAGAGCCAACTGCACGAGTCATTTATTACACATATGGATGACAGATAGGCTACCTATAAATTGAGATTATAATAGCTTCTGTGGTCTGTTCATATTGTGACTTCTTTGAGGTAGGAAGTTGCTGTGCGATAGCAGTGGGACTCCCTCGTGCTTGAGGTCTTCCAGCAAAACGTTACTTTGATGGCAGTAGCTGTGCAAAGGCTGAAATTTGCCCCTCTCTGTTGCATTATCATCACAAAATCTTGTGCTGTAGTTTCTCACTTAAAACTCTTCGCAGAACAGACAGATGTACTAAACATCTCATGTTTGTAGTGACTAATAGAGCAACAACTACCAATTATGAAAAGGGTTTTTCTGTCTTCCAAAACTGCACACACACACACCTGCCTTTCCATGAAAATATTTACAACCTGATGCCAAAAGGCCCCGATCTCGCGCACGCTTTAAAATGCCGCGTCCTAGGAGTTAAAACCAGAGCAGACAGGGCTCATGCTCCGGCCGTGACTCCCTCTGCCGGCTTCCCGGCCGGAGCGGGGTGGCGGGAGCTGCAGCGGCACGGGGTAAGAATCCCTGATAGAATATGTAATGCGCTTGTGACAGAGCTGTGAGAAGTTTTTAGGAATAAAACAGTGTTAAGCGAAACTGCAGATAGGAATAGAACTTGCAAAAGTTCTAAGGTGAATACAGAACTACCTTAAAACACATGTATTTGTTCAGTGCTTACAGTGAAATGCCTGAAGTGGCCCAGTAGCTGAAAAGCTTCGCGTTTTTTCATGGCCATTATTAAATAAATAATTTAGTAATAAGACTCTCTGA